TGTTGTCGATCATCAACTTTTATTAAACAATCACTTCGTGATGTTGAGCTACTGATGTAATGTGGTAGTCATGTTACAGCGAAAGAGACTCTTCTAACAGTTTTACTAACAAGAACTATGCGCAAAAATTGGGGAAAATTGCGGAGAAATACTCGTGAATAGCGGTAATGAAATAACACTGGAAATAGGGCATCGTATTATTTTATTAACTTTTAGCATCACAAGCCCGTGTCTCACAAGAGGGAACAACAACTCCCTACAAAGGGAATGACAAGCTAATTCGTCTATAGGTACGTAAATACTGTCTACATTTTAGAACGAAATGTTTTGTCAGTAAAATACAAGCACTTGAAAATTAGAGATTAAATGCGAACCTACGAAGTACGGATTATACTTCTCTAGAAAACTTTAGTCGAACACGTAAGAAGTTAAAATGCAGTAAAGTAACGTTACCAATGCGGTAAGTCTGATCAGCGAAACTACAGACCATATAAGTAATGATATCCATTGCCAACAATGTTATAAACACAGGTTCTCTCAGGGTACAATATCTTACACATCAGATGAAAGTAGTAATGTATCGAGACTGTACGAGAAAACGATAACATGAGCAAAACAATTCAACCCATTTGATATGTGCGGTTGCTGGTAAGTGAATTATAGGGCCATCTATATAAAAAACAGTTGGTAAATGTCTCAAAGGCAATAAAAACCAGAAATCCAGGGCAGATATGCAGAACATTACATTCCAACCGCTTCTGAAACTCCTAAAACTAATCAAAGACATGCCCTTCAATGTCCGAACAACTGAGAAATCCGATGCGATATTAACGATGACTACAAGCCAGCGACTGCACCACCGTAGTCAGTGGGTTTCTCACTTTCTCGAATAAGGCGTCCGACAGTCGGATATTTACCTAAATAGACCTACCAATTGTAGACAAGGCTGTAAAAATAACAGCTAGTTGCTTCAGGTTACTGCGGAGAAAAGTAGTTTCCATGATATTCATATGACAGGAACACGAAATCTTTTGATCTATCTGATCTGCAGTGTTTAAGGAAACTTCACACTTCACTAATTAAGTGCGACTGTCGAATGCAATAACTGTCAAAGTCCCTCAGCCTAGAATAGGTCAATCGTCAAAGTAAAAGCAAAATTTAAGTGCTTACATCTAAAGCTCATCTCCCAATTTTTAGCGTCGTCAACTTCTGAAGGGGTAAGATCACTTGTGTCGTCCTCAGCATCTTTAACCGCCTTAACATCACCTGTTGCAAGTGCTCGAGTCGCGTCATGACCAGCAAAACTATGGTAAGGACCACCTGGACCATAAAATTGCTTCGCCCGACTAACATCGTAAACCTGAAGGCCAAGATCTACATCTGCACAGATAGAAAGTTTATGCAGACTAACAGAACGGCACTGTAACTCATCAATTTTTTCTCGCTTTACCAGAAAAAACCAAAATTTTTCTTGAAAACTGCTTGACTTTACATTGCCGAGTAATGCCAGAAGTATGCGCTTTTCCTTCACACCATCATAGTCTCGAAGTTCCTGCACATTGAAGTCTCTTTTTTGCATCGGCGGTAAAATATCTTTGGGTGTTTCCTCCTTATTTGTTTTTTTAAAAAACATCCAGTAAATAAAGTATGCAAGACCAATAACAGCTAAAAAATCTGTGAATGAAACTTCAAACACAGACCCTGCTTGCATTTTGCCAATATTTTAAACGTTTAACTTGAACCCTAAAAAAATCACTTTTAGAAGAAAGTAATCCCTGTACTAGCCTATCACGGTATCCAGCATAAGCGGCCGAAAAATAAGAACCAAGGCACTGCCTACAGATTGCGTACAAATGAAAATGTTGGTAGCACCTCGACTTCTCCTAGATGCTTCCCTACTTGGAACTATTCTTAAACTCCCATATAATATTTGAGAAACAATACTGGATCTAGGTTAAGATGCAATTTTTAACGACGAGACTTCCGGAAAGGGTGAGAGTACAGGAATTCGATAAACATTAGCTTCATCTACTTAAGCCCAAAATGCTCAATCAGAACAGGTAACCAAGAAAACCTTTCATCAACATACCCTTATTTTGAAAGTTGTCTGAAAAAAAGTAAAGCCAGTTATCGCAAAACCTAACTTTAACTACAACCATAAAGACACTAAACATCCGCATTATCTAACCCAAATAAAGTCACGAATAGTTGTCAGTAGCTCAGGCTCTCTTGCAGTTGCTTTTGCACCTTTCGCAAAAAATGTGAAATTAACGACAGAAGAAAAATATGCAAGGAAGCTTGCAAAAAACAACAAAATGTAAAGAAACAAAAATAAAATGTTGAAGAAGAATGAGCAATCTAGTCACTTATCGACGTAAAAGGACTGAAGAGAACCTGACACCAAATTTCCCCACGAGTACTCGAATAAGACACTACTCTCAGCACTGAAGAGAACAGAAAACTAGTGGCACTTCCTCTAAAAAGAAATCCCATCGTTTTGTTTCTTGCCGTTCTCAACCAATATGAAATTAGAGTAGACAATTCAAATACTACTAGCTGAAACAAAAGACAACCCAAGTCTCGCTCTTTGATTTGCTAAAGAAAAAGTGATTATAACTACCCACAGATAACCGTGATAATAACATGGAAGCTAACCAGAAGAAGAACCATACTTTAAAAGCGAAACATACTGCCAGAAAGTGTGCGATTTCTTTTAGTACAGTAAGCAAAGCCACAAATCCTGAACGTTCCAAATGTTCATAAACAGCAAATTGGACGTCGCGAAGAAAAACTTACTGAAGCTTCAAGAAAACCAGAAAAAAAGTATTTACTTCAACAAACGAAAACGATGTTAATTTGATAAGCGGCTCGAACAAAAGGTCTTAAGCAGCAAGTTCAAAAGCGATATTATGTTTTTAAAGCAATAACAAGACTTTCACAGGTGCAAATGAATATTATTAAAAGTAAAATTATAGCTGTTCTATGGAAACTTTAAAATGAAATTACCAATGTACCTCTTATTTATAGACGGAAATCTTTTGTAATCAACGTTTTTTTAAATTCACTTTTCACCGGTCTTACGTTATGCTGTTTAGAAGCATATAATAGCAATTAATCACTGAAAAGATAAATGCATCGATCATGGTGAATAAACGAGAGCGAGAGCACTAAACGAAATATTTTGTAGTTGCTCCATAAATCCCTTGCAGATTTTTCCAACATCCTTTAAGAAAGTCTGTTCCGTTGTTGGTCCACAGTCTCGCGGAAATGGGGCGCTCGAATCTAAAAAATAATTTTTCAGAACTAATGGTAACAAAAAAATATACTGTCTTTTTTAAAAGCAGTCCGGTCAAACGACGGTTAAGTCAAGTATTAATAACAGCTGAACCATTTTAAAAATCATATAAAAAGATGCCTCTTTGTTCAGGAGCCTGTACAGTTATGCAGATAGACCCTACTTGTCAATTCCATAACAAGTGCCTCATCGTATGACTTAATCTACATCTCAATATAAAGCAGTCAGAAATACGATGCAAAATAACGTGCAATAAACATTCACTTTCATAAATTAAACTTGGAACCAATAAGACCGTAAACCAGAGCAGTGCTGTGCACAAAGATTCTGAGAGTCCAAAAAGGTCTTCAAGGGCGAGTAATAAGAAAAAACAAAATGACTTTTATCAATAATTATAAGCTCATATCTAAGTAAAAAAATCACAAACGTTTATTAAAAAACTATTTCCGACCACACCCAATGAGAAAAGTGAAAATGTAAAAAGCAATATAAAAGTGTGCGCAGTAAAAATTATAGACGAAAGTCTGGTGGTACCACAAATTTCTTGCAAAAACTAGTCACCACTTGACGCTGGCAGCATACTACCAACAGGGATCCATAATCCAAAAAAAGACTGTTTATTCATAACAAAGTTTATATTTTAAAATTACTTTAGAATATAATTCAAAAACATCTCTATTTTAAGAATTTAAAGTTGTTCTAAGCGTCCTACACAGCGATCTCTTCCAAGATATCACAGAAAAAGTCCAAGATAAGCTTTGATAAATTATAATAAAAACTTCCTTGGGTGCGCAAGTAATAAGGGAAGTTGATATAGAAACTACAATAACCGTAAAGATAAAAAATACAAGAAATTTTTGATAAAAACGCATTTGCCCTCCAGAAATAAATAACACTGCGTCACAGTCTGCAGTAAATTAATTTTTGACACACTTCTAGCCTCCGGAAGCAGAAAAAAAGTCAATTTCAGCCTACAAAATGCAGTTGGAAGAATTTTAATTGAGAACAATGTGATGAAAGAACAATTGAGAATGAAGAGTGGAAGAAACTATGAGAAAAGAAATCTTCAACCAAAATGAAGTCACTTTGTTTTTGTAGGAAAAATTTAAAAGCGAGAGAAAAAACAAAAAAAATAGAGAAGAGATATATATATCGACTCTACTCACTTTCGACGATGTCAATATTATTACTACTTTTATTATGTCTGCAGCTAATTTTATTTTACTTACGCCACACCTATATCACAAAAACAGTGCCAAAGCTCTCAAATGTCTGTTGTAAGTTTCAAAGTGACATATGATAACTATGAAAAGTTGCAGTTTGAAAAGCTCTTAATCTGCTAATATGTAAATTGATATTTTATTAAAAAAATGTTGACCTTTTTCTCCTAAGATAAATATCATAAAAGTTAATCAAGAAGTCTCAAAGCTATAATTTTCCCAAAGAATCTTTTTGCATGAAATCTTAAAAACCCCTGAGCAACATCGAAGGGAAAGAACCAGTCTGTAGCATGAAACAATCCTAAAAAACATAATTAAAAATAAAGCAAATACTTGACTGTCTCTTCTTTAATTAATAACACCATCCTCTTCAATCTTTTTAAGGGCTGTTTAGATTGTTTTGATAGGTCCGACACTTCAGCTTATCCACCTATCCCAAAACAAACATAATTCCTAGTTACTTTAATAGACAGAGATGCCTTGACACTTTAATTATAGTCCTTACTTCCCTCCTACACCTTGTTCTGTAATTCAATTACTTGCGGCAACTAAGCTAATTTTACTCCCTCAAGAGACTGACGATGTGACCCATTACGGAAAAGCGTCTTAAACCAGTTCATAGAAAAATTCAATGTTGCTTTAACTAACAGGTTCTTGCTCTGCTGCGAGTCTACTAAATTTAGTTCGCAGTGCACAGGGTTAGTAAGGACTGCTAAACAACCTTATTTCGGTGTCCTGGTTAGTGACAAATTTTAAGCAGTAAATTAATAGCTTCTAATGTTTGGTTATCTCAGGAATCCAAAAATGCTAAGATCCCACTGTAGTTCTGCAAAAAAGCAAAGAAAGATAGAAACAAAAAAAAAAAAACAAAAAATGAGATTTTCATATGTGATGAACTAAAATGCTTTTTTTCTATTAACCAACAAAAGGTATGTACGGTAAATAAAAAAGAAGAGGATTTAAGTTTTAAACATTAACTCAGGACAGAAAAGTGTGCTCAATTACAGCTGCAACAGTAAAACAAAAAAGTGCTACGAATCAAAACCAAAAAACTCTTTGCTGCCGACACGTTAAAGCGTCACAATCAGAAGTTCACGCAAAGAATGATTATCAGTTTACTAAAATGATTTTGCCATAGTTCCAGAAGAAAGTTCAAAAAAAACAGGCTTTTAAAAATTAAAGATAAATTTTAACCTATTTCATAAAGCTTCCCATCGATGTTGACATAACACAAAAAGTGGTGTTCCACAGGTCCATCCAGACTAACGCTGGTGTCACCGCCTTCCGCACATTCTTCATGTGCTTCCGCCAGTTCTTTAAACTGAGCCAAAAAATCAGAGCGCTGATCAATGTCAAGTTTCAACGCTTCGTCTAACCACTTTTTAAAAGGGCCATTACCTAATACCAAGCACATTAAAATATTAAATTTTAATTTTAGTCAATGAGGAATTAAAGAAAATAGTAAGGGTAAAGGATATATTTCTTTGGACAAACCCAAGTCGATATTCTTTCTGTTGTTTGCTAACGAATGAAAGAGTGCAAATGTCCCACAGGCGTTGCCGATTTTTTGTTTCATGAAGAAGACGTTATCCATCTTCTCTACACCTTCTGTTCGCAACTTTTCGTAAATTGGATTCAACAGCCCCTCTATCTGTAAAAGCACGCTGTAGCTGCTAACTTTCTACAACGGAACTACACAATCTATCCTACTGAAAAAGTATAACGAAATTCAAACCTGAGGACTTGGGAAACACAGAACCAATGCATAGCAAGGACGTGGCAAAAAATCCAGTTCACTATCAAATCCAAATACATCCACACACTCAACATCGTTCACTCCAATTCTTCGCATAAACTAAACCTCATCATCTATACTTTACTGCTTATTAAACAAAAATATAAAGTATCGCCGGTGTTCTTCGTCTAGTCTAACTTCCAGTGAGCATATATTTAAAATCTATGGGCGAGAAACGAACCTTTGTGATCGTTGTCGGGTTTGACTCCAACGGAAGCCATCGTACTTTCTCAGCCATTCCAGAACCTTCTAAAACTTTTAGATTTCCTCAACATACCAAAAAAGTTTCAACGCCGAACCGGAAACACTGCTCTAGCTGTGAACAAGTGAATAAAGCTTCAAAAAACCAATCAAAACTTGAAACCTGGTCAACTTTCACTAATGAATCTGCCTTCTTCCTCTAAAGCCATTACTTTAAATATCAAATGAAAGATAAAAGGCTTTGTTATTCTTACCTCCAAACTACACTAATAAGCATTTTAATTTGTAACCGCACTCTTTTAATGTTCGGAAAAACAAGGTGAAAAAACCCGAGTAAAACCCAAGTAAGCATCTACAATGATAATAGCTTAGGTAAACAAAGTACGGATGAAGCAAGCAAAACCATTTTATCGATATAACAAAACACTTATACAAAAACTTCCATAACAAAGTTTGAGGAAACCACAAAAAACGGTACAATACCCAGTACTTGATTTAACAACTTGAAAGCAGGGATATGATATCAATAAGCGTTAAAAACAGGTCAGCAGACATCG